ATATGTAGGCGCCAAGCAGCAGAGGGAAGACTGAAGGCTCCGGCCGGAGTGAAGGCCTGGGTCCTGGGTGCCGGAGGAAAACCGGCCAGCAGCCAAGGGAAGGGAAGGCCTATTGCACGAATCTCTTCGTGCAACAGGCCTCTAGTATATATATAAAACTTGAAGAACTCTCCTTACAATGCTATACAAGTCAGGAAGGGCTAAAGAGGACCTGAAACACCATACTTGCTTTAAGAGTGTCCAAAATTTGCAAAAGTAAAGATTAGTTCAGCTTTTCACATATAAACACACACACAAACACATAATCTCTAAGGGAAAAATAACCTTAAGCAATAATTCCATATATAAGAGATGTCAGCACAACCATTCTCTCATTCTTGTCCTAATGCATCTTGTTCCACCCTGTATTTTTCTCGGATTTTTAGTTTATTGCTACTCCTGTCCTCTAGCTAATAAAAAAAAAAAATCTTACACACACATACATGACTTATTTCCTGCAATAACCCAGGCTTAAGAAAACTCATTTTTAACAAGTTGAAGCAATATTTCCTAAAGTAGAGCACTCAGAGCAACTGTTTCAAAATCAACCATGGTGCTTATCCTATATAATAAAAGGCTAATATGCAAATCGACCAGACAGCAGAACAACCGGTTCCTATGATGTGCACAGTGGGAGAAGTACAAAAGTCAGTGTTTACAGCAATGCCTGGCACATTGTAGGCGCACCATAAATATTTGTGAACAAACGAATGAAATCATCGCATTTTGTGGGTGGCCCTACTTTCCATCTAAGGACAGTCTCAAAATGTTTTCACTTTTAATAAAAACATAAATAAATTCTAAAGGCATTGAAAAGGAATGTAGCTTTTGCTAAAGCTGTTATTTTCTATAAAAATAATGTAAGAGGGGTTGCATTACACAATGAAGTTCCTTAAATACCCTTTAAAAAAAATCTCTCAATTCCCACTCCCTCTGGCAGCTGCCATGACAACCTTTCCTCTTTCTTATGAGTATACCCTCCTAACAATTACCTTCTCTGCTTCTCCCCTTCATAGGCCAAGCTCAAGCAGATCCTTCTGAACACATTTGGCCTCCCTATTTCTCCCAATTGCACTCCCACGCGTCAACCCGCTGAGCATTTACTTGGCAATGAAGCAAAATTAATGAACAAACTAAGTTCACTCTAGGTTTGGCGATGATTCCTGAAGAGCAAAGCTGTCCCCGGGCTTTCAGCAAGGAAAGCACATTGACCAGAAGCAGTATATGTATATGTATATGTATATGTATATATGTATACATACATGCATTCTGCTTATGTTTCAAAACACTTTTTTTCTAATGCCCAAGGATATGCTTACTGATTTGAGAGGGAGGAAGGGGGGCAGAGGGCGATAGAGAGGGAGAGGGAGAGAGGGAGAGAGAGAGAGGAAAAACATCCATTGGTTGCCTTCTAGACCCAACCAACAACTTTTAGTATACTAGATATGGGATGACCCTCCAATCAACTGAGCCACACGGTCTATTTGCCACATCTTGCCCAAGGAGAAAACACGAGGAAAGCACTGGTTGTAAACAAGAGGTCCACCTGTAAACATATTGTGTGGCTCTCTGTTTTATCCTATGTGGTACAATAGAACTCCTCTTTTAAAATAAAAAATCATGCAGACTTGAACGGTAAGGGGGACCCTGTGAGAGGGATTGCCCTGCTGAGCCGGGTTGGTCTCTTCTTGTGCACACTTCCTATTATCATATTTAAGTTCT